AAGAATGTAAAACTTATGGCTCGAGGTAAAAGTAAGGAAGTTCATGGATCAATAATATGATCCGGGTTTGAATCAATTTGATAAGATCTTTGCTGCTATGTTGGCATTGCACAGCATGAAAAGGATTTGAGTCAGATTTAGTTGTCTGCACCAATTTGACAAGATCATATGCTGCTATTGGGGGATTTCACAGCATGAAGTTGTTGAAATGTTGGAAAGAGATTTAGGGCTTGTTCGAAAAATCAAAAGTTGTTTATGAAACTAAGCAGTTGCTTTTGAATCTGTTAGGATAATTTTTTGGAAGTTGCTTTGTCTGACTAGAAGAGTTTTTTAGCTAAAGCTTCCTCAGGAAGTTCTACCAGCAGAAGCAAAAGTGGAAGCCTTGCGAAACATGCCCTTATTGTGTATCTATGAATTCAAGTTATTCCCAAGTGGGTTTACACCATGAAGCATTGAAATTGTATGGTGATATGTTGATTACGGTGGAGTAAAACCTGAATCGGTTACGTGTGTTTATTGCGCTGGTGTACTCACAAAGGCCTGGTTGAGAAGCGTGTCAAGTATGCTCGAAATTTGGACGTGAAGAGAAGCTAGAAAATGCAATTAAGGTTATCAACAATTTTCCACTTCTTTGACAACCCAATATTATGGAGGACATTGTTAGGTACATGTAAAATCATAATATTGTTGATAAAGGTAAGACAGCAACGAGGAGGTTGAACGTGTATGTTGATAAAAATTAATGCGTAAAGACCATTCCAAACTGGGTGTGATCGGGTTCATAAATTGGTCGCTGATGATAGGTACCATACTGATTCAGAGGAAATTTATCTAAAAACAGGAAATCGAGCTGCCCATAATGTCATGAGAGAGACCATTAGCAGCGCCTGAATGGTTGTAGAAAAGTTGTGGTTCATGCCATATTGAGAAGTTCGTAATAGTTTATGGACGAAGTGCAGAAGGAACTTGTCCACTGAGTGTCAAGAATTAATACGAATATTGAATCAACACGAAAATTCATATTCGATTGGACGAAAATGTGTCTTTTCTGTTACCGGTTAAGATGTGCTCTGATCGTTGCTACCTGCATGTGGTATCAAGCTCTGGAGGAAATCCCCACCCTACGAACCAAAAAAAAAAAAAAAGCCCAAAAATCAACGTGAGTGAGAGTGCAACTATAATACTCTTGAAGCACGTCAAATATAATAAGAAATCAACAAAGAAATGAAGACATTAGTTCATCGGAAAGGATGTATTTTTCTTTCCCTTCAACAGGTAAAAAAGTGACAGCCCTTGATATTGTAAGCTCTTGTACATTTTGATTTGCTGAAATCTATAACAAACTCATTTTGCTCTAGTAGAATTATTGGCGAAGTATGAAAAAAAACAGTATCTAGCTTTGCAGAACAAAGACAAAATCTAGTGTCTAGAAATCAACAATATTTGTGTCAAATGCCACATAAAATCAGACAATGACATTAACAATTGATAAATCATGCTTCCAAGCCCTCCTGACAACAATCCCTTTCCCCTTGGTAGTGTAATCTTCAGATTGGATAAAATAGTTCCAAGGGTTTCTGCAATTGAAAATATTTGATCATGTGATTGATCTTTCTTATAAATATTCTGATTTTCTCGAGGTCAGTTGAGAGAAATGTAATGCGATAGTTGAATGTGCAAATCAATCTTTAAAATATTGCTGAGAACATTGACTTAAGTGACACGTAAAACATGCCTAGTAGCATCACGATGACTCAAGATATGAACATGCTAAAAAAGATGATTGTCAAGCATGTTGGTTTTCAAAATGCTCACTTAACTATATGACCAACACATCGTCATGCAAACTAAAAGTTTACACTCATTTTTGTGGGAACTTCTTTTCATTCTTGTTTCGAGCTCAAACAATTGCACTAATTTAGGGGAAAATGTCTAATATATTGTAAAACCAGACTAGGGGAATAAAAACCAGTTTAAACTTCTAAATATGCATTCTTTAATTTAGGACAGGAAACACACCTTCACATCATCTTATCTGACCCCTCCGTTGCTTAGCATCAGAAATGTGAAACATAAGCTGCACATTTAGCTTTTTAAATTAATTTAAACTCGCACCGAAAGACAAAAAGTTCATGGATAAAAATACTTGTGTACTTGATACCTTGGTTCCAACGTAGAAAGAGACAAACATGCCACCAAGAATAGGCAATGCTGCAAAACAGGAGGATTGCAATTACTCCGCTGCAGCACATCTCTTACAAGTAGGAAGCAAGAAAACATACCTTCTTTGTGGAGGAATTCAGAAACCAACCAATTAATGCCTGATGGCCCAATTACAAAACCAACAAGATTTGCCACCTGTAGACCATTGCTTAAAAATTCTGAATATTCACAATCTTACACAACACAAGAAATTTCAACAGCAATAACAGGATGTTGATACATGCATATAATTCAGTTCAACATCAAACTTTGTAAGATAAATATGATACCAATAAAGAATAATCGCCACACGCTGTTCCTCTAGGCATATTTTTATCAGTGATATGAAATGGATGCACATGTCCAAACATAGGGTTGATCGCTTCAATTTGCACAATGAAGCTGTAATGAAATCCAGGACAGTATGCATTGGTGCATTATTACAAGATCAAGGTGGAGGTCCTCAAACTCAAGTCTCGTGTCAAAGTTCATCAGAAAGTGTATGGTTCGTTAATTGAAAATGCTCTAAGTTCATTAATTATTATAGCTTTCATCTGGAAAAGAATAAGAAATGCAACATTGATGCATCACGCTCAACTCCGATATATTTCCGTATCTACTATGGACAAAACTTTCAAAATAAGCAGCTAATTCATTCAAAATTTACATGTAAAACTCTATCCTTTTAGTTTTTTTTTTTTTTTTTTTTTTAAATTTTTTTTTATAAATTATTTTTTTTTTTTTTTTTTTTTTTTTTTTTTTTTTTTGTAGAACTTTTTTGAAATTGATTAAATCCATCCAGTTCACTCTAAAAAGCACCAGCGCAGCCAGACATTTCACTGAAATATTATGTCAGTAATCTGTCTTATAATTAAATCCATAAGGTAAACAAATACTTGACGATGCATCCGTACTTAACGAGATACTATTTGGGCATAATGATAAATCAGCAGAGACATACCATGAGGCAAGTTATAGTTACTGCACCAGAGACAGCTCTAAGCTCACGAAAAACAAATCCCCCGAAAGCACCCTTCACCTGTAAATGAACATGAATTGATTTGGAAAATCATGATAGTGGCAGAACAGATGTTCATACTCAAGAAGCGTTTCATAAATGTTTATTCACAATATCTTTCCTTCTCCCTTTTTTCTTGTTGCTTAATTTATGTGCAATAATGTATGTTGGCAAGTTGTAAATTCATCTATTCTCCTATGAGCAAGCATCTCTCGGAAATTATGTTAAGATAAATAATGCTTGATAAATTTATTCAAGTTACCAGTAGTTATGACTGGTACGTTTAACTACTGGATATTGAAAATCATGTCATTTATTATTTTCTTCTTATTTCTTGGAAGGCAATAAAAGGTCGTTCAGAACAGTTTCTAAATGTGATTAGTCTTAGAAAATGGAGAAGAAAAACCATAATTTCAAGGCATTTTTTCTCTCCTGTGTGCGAGGTCTTTTAAAACCCTATACTTTCTATCCTCTAATAGAAAAATATTTCAATACTCTTTCCCTAATCATTAAAATCCAACTCTATATACGTCAAGTCGTCCTTGTTGACGAGGAGTAATTTATTTATCCTAAAAAGCTGACAAAGGAGAAGACCAGTGAGTCCAAGCAGAGTCACTTCAGACGCAAAGAAGAAGATAGACTTTACAATGCAGGGTTAGAGTGGAAATGCAAGTCCCATTCAGGTATCCTCTCATTGAAATTTCTACATTTAAGAGTACCTGTTCTACAGTTTACATTTATGTTCATGTTTGGACAGACAGAGATTGTATGGTAGCATGCTATGATGCAACAACCTGCCACATTTTGCTCGATAAGAACTAATGTAGGACATAAAAGGCTCATGAAAGAGCCAAATAATCATGGAAGTATGGAGTTCTTCTGAGAGCTGAGACAAGCGACTTGGAGATATCTTCTCTTAGCTCAATCCAGATTTTTTGTTCTTTCTGCAGTTTAATGAGTCCTCGTGTAGTTTAGAGTCAAATCCTTGTCCAAGTAGGAGTGTCTTAATATAGTGTTTTTAGACCATTCTCCTAATAAAATTGGGATATTTTATGATTCTATAACTATTATGTAATCTATGTAAATCTTTTGTCGAATACATTCTTGGAAAAGGTGATTCCAAGGGTGTTTCTCGTCTATTCATATTTTTCCCCAGAGAGATTCCAAGGGTGTTTCTTGTCCATTATATTTTTCTCTAATTTCCAGTCTTCCTTACAATTGATGGAAAAGGCTGAATGCTTCTATTCAAAATGGCTTCCTGTGTCAATTTGGTATGCTAGCAAGTTGGTCTTGGCTAAAAAGTTGGATGCCTACGAGGGATTATGAGATCCATCAATAATTCTTATGAAAGAAACTTCAATCTCCAAGAAGGTATTTTCTGCAACCATTAAAAAAGGCGTGTAGAGAGCTTACTAACACCAATTGGCGACTTGATTAATTATTTAAACTTGCAAAATGATATCGAGGTAAGAAGGCTATCTGTGATGTGCAGGACATAAACAATAGGATGTGAAAACCAGTTCTCCAGACATATTAAGATTTGGCAAGATGGCAGGATAAATATTGCTGGAAATAAGATAGAACAGGGTTTTCAACATTCTCTGTTTGGAAAAGAAAAATTCCCCATTCAGCATGAATTTTCACCTGATGAGGTAACTCGAAGAATGGGGCTGATAAAGCATTGACATTACCTGAAAGGCATTTGCTGCTGATTTGACAAGCATTTCTGGTATGAAGAATAAACATGTCAACCATGCCCATGAAAGAAGCTTCCTGAAATCAAAGGCATTATCAGATGAGCAGCTATGTTGCACTACAGTAAGGATATCTTTGGTTGTTATGAAAAAATCTGAAGTTAACCCATACCACTCTAAATCATGCCATATGGCAACAAATGTGAAGATGACCCATACATTTAGCAGCTTCTTTCGAGCTCCTCCAAGAGGGATATAAACATACCTAACACCCCAGTTAGCAGCATTGATGCATGACTAAAAAACGAATTGCAGATGCAATAAAAAATAGAAAGTTTACCTAACAAGCCATTTGTTGAACGAAGCATGCCAATTCTTCCAAAAACTTTCCAAGTTGTAGCAATTGTTTACACACCTTGGCATATTCTCAGGAGCCTCAATGCCATTGATCTACATGCATATATTATTTGTTAAATCAACTCCATTCATCCGAATATATTGCAGTACGAAAATTCCGCATATGATTTACTAAAAACAGAGAACTGTTGAGAACTTCAGGCAAGAAACAACACAATCAGGAGATATCGACAAACCTACCAGTGACCAGAATCGGAAGTAGCGCCAGATGAGGAAAAACTTTAGCCACATGAAGTTTAGAACCTGTTTTTATCACACATAGGAACTTGTTAGAGAGATTTAGCACTGTTATATGGAGAATAACTAATATAAATTTTTCATAGACGAGAAGATTACATTAAAAAAGAGATACAAACAAATTCACACCATTCACTATTTCGCTTGTATATAAAGTATCCAATGAATCCTCCATGAGAACATCTGAATAAGCTAAGTAGGTAACTGTTAAAAAAAAAGGATTACTACGTTATATTCTATTTATGTGTGCTTGTTGATGTTCTGATGAGGCCATGTCTGATTCCTTAGTTTTGTAGTTTTATCATTTATGTTCCCAAGTACACTTCCATCCTATGTGCCCTTAATAATGGTAAAGCCACATAATTATAACGGTTCATTTTCTCCAAACCCCATTTGCAGACAAGGAACAAATCCTTACCTTGTCTTTCAATCTATCCAGTGCTTAACGAACAAACAGCATATTATTTTCAACTAGTCAACTAGAAAATTGAAAGGTTCGATGAAATTTTATAGGTCTGGCAGTCTGGCCACAGAAATAAAGCAACTTCAATATTTTCAACTAACGATCTAAGTACTGTCATCTTCTACAGTATGCATGTGATAGGAAAAATTGATGGATACATGGTGCCTACATCAAAGGAAATTAAAGAACAAAGAATAGCAGTGGTAAGTTAGCAAATCAAGGAGAACAATGATATAACAAATGCCATCACTTACCCCATATCCAATAATAAAGATGTCCATGGGAGACAGCTGTTTCCACACACCACTAGAAGTACAGCAAGAAAACTCATTCTTAACACATAATGCAACGAGTAAATATCACTAACAAGAAATTTACTTGAATTAGTAAGGTACTCACCTGATGGAAAATGCATTGTAGTAGAAAAAATGTGACATCAATTCCATTAGGAAAAGACTAAATAGCCAACGCAAACCATACCAGGCCACTCCTCGAGATGAGTAATTTTTCTGGGGAGTTTCCAACTGTCACGAAAATGATAAGTCATTTTGAGAGTCCTTGGGATTGAACAATGGTAACAACAACAGAGTATTATTGATCGGACAATCATAAAGTATAATTAAGGAAAATTGAGATAAATATATCCATGTCAAAAGAAAGTATGGAAAAATTAAATTTTGGGAAATTGAAAAGCATCTGGCAATCCTTAAGATGTCTCCCTTTTCATAATTCCTTTGATAGATATTAGTAACCCTCTTTTCGAGTTTGTAATATTGGTAATACTCTTCCAGCTGAGAAAAATCTTCAGTCAGTTCAGCAAAGAGGATGTTCCACAAAAGAAAATCCAGTCAAGGTAAAAACAAAAATCAAGGTATGGGTAAAATGTCATACGAATGCAAAAGAAAAACTTCGTAAACATTGCATTGTGTAGCATCTGTATTCAACTAAACAGCTTCAGAAGAGTACCAACTACCGATGTAGTAAATAGTTACCAGAAAATTTGATAATAAGAAAAACCTTCAGTATATCAAGGACTTCAAATCTACATATTTTTTATCAAGAAAAAAATGCAAAGAATTAAGACCAGCAGTACAAACCTGTGAAGCAAACGCATTGAAGCTAATAATTGGTCCAGCAATGTAAAGCGGTGCATACACCAAATAACACAAGTATATTGAAAATGAAAACCTGTCATTTGGGACACTTCTCTCCTGGAAAAGGTATTAATAAAATTCAAAAAAAAAAAGAAGTCAGGAAATTATTAGTACAAATTTTGAAGCAATAGAGATGCAGCAAATAATTGTACTCAAAAGAATCCTTGCAGAAGCAGGAGCTCACCTGTAATAGGAGGTAGCATGTCTTGCCTGATGAACAGTACACACAGCGTTGAATGTGCTTCTTAATTAACAGAAATCTAAATGTCAGAAGAAACACTAATTTCGTCCCTATTTTGGAATGGCCACAGGAAAAGTAACTAACAAGTCAAGAAATATAATGCGAACATAATACATATGTGATTTTGGATCAAGTTTTTCACTTGTGTGTAATACTGTGATGAATTATTAAGTGTCAAAAACAATCTGTTTGACTTAGCAGTATAAGGAGGCAAAAATCAGCTGATCAGCATGTCCATCTATTCAGTCTTGAAATAACCCAAGTATGAGGTCTCTTGATCAGAGGTTCCACAAAAAACACATGTTATTTTATCTCCTTGTCAACCAGACACGCTTGGCAAATATGCTAGAAATTAATTCGGGAGGTGGAGGAGAGGTTTGGAGGTAGAGACTTTTTTATTTCTCTTCTTTTTATTATCTTGGTCTCATTTGATCAATTTTGAAGGAGATATTACACAGGTAATTCTAAGGTGAGAAAGCACCAGTCTCAAAGGCAAAAAAACCTTGACAACATATGTTATTTGTGCCGATGATACTGCTTTTCTTGTTGTGGATTAATTTCAGGAAATTTTATGCATTGCATTTGAATAACAATGAAAATTTGTACACTTCTATGCACTTCTGTGAGTGCGACTGTAGAGCTTCAACTGAGTGACTCTTAGAGTTTTTCCCCTTTTTTCCCTGATACCAGAAACATTAAAAAATTATCACAAGTGTCTGTGTATAGTCATTTGGGATATCTTTATGATCTTCAATAAGTATTAGGAAAACAGCTTGGAAGCACGGACACGCTGTTGGCGTCGACAAACCAGACACTGGTACGTCTCCGACATGTCACCGACGCGAGTTGGAGTTTCTTGCGGCGTGTCGGAGATGAAGAAATGCATATGGCTGGAAGAAGAAAACAGTGACTGGTGACTGTGAAGAAGAAAGAAGAAAGAACCAGTCTGTGAAGAAGAAGACTAAGGAAGAAGAAAGAAGAGAATGAAGAGACGTGATTGGAAACAAAAAGTCTGTGGATGTAAACCAATGTACTTTTCAAATCAAATTGTTGGGCCAATAACATTTAATGCAATGTAAAATTTCTTTTTGTGGCATATATTTAGCCCCTATTTGGTGCGAATTAAAATATAAATTTTAATTTAAGTCAAAGTCAACGATTCATTTTAACAACATATTTCATAAGTCCCATAGTTTTCTAACCACACATTTCATCAACTGCTATCAAACTTTCCTAAAAATCTTATTTCAATCCCCACCAAACATGGATTAATTTTTATTTTTGTTCAGCTTTATTCTTTAACAAAGCAACATGTAAAATTTTATGTGAATTAATTTTTTACCATGTTACCCTCCAATAAATATAAAAAAATTATTACTTAAAAGACTATTAAATTAAAATAAGTGAAAAAATAATATTTTAATCTAACATATCGTGTCGGAACTTTTTCAAAACATCACGTATCTGCGTTCCGACACGTATCGTATCGGACACTTATGTCCATGTTGGTGCTTCTTAAGAAAACAGTATTATTGTCAAAATACAAGTCTAAATAAGATAGAAACCTGCTAATATTCTCTTCTACTGTAGTTTGAGATAAGTAGGATGCTAAGGCAAAGCATCAGGGAGTTTAAAGTTTCAACATACAATGTGTTTTCTATCTGAAATCCAAGGACAGTCTACTATCCAGTTAATGTAAGTTTTAAGGAGCATTGCTTTCAAGTGAAGATTAAATTAAACATCTCCTATATAAGAAATTTTGTAGCTAAAAAAGACTTCCAAAGCATTAACATGTTGCGATGTGACCTCGATCCTTACACAATAGGGTGTGTGCGCGGTAGGGGAATGAAATATTAGTTCTTCAAATAGCCATCAAAGAACTGCTACAAAAAGAGGTAAAAAAGTACCTTTTGATCAAAACGATTGTATTGATCAGCCCAATGGTAATCATATCCAAAGCTTATCATTCGCAAAGCAACTAAAAAAGGAAAAGAAAAAGTAGATAAAAAATATGAGATTAAGGAAATTTTGATGCAGATAAAAAAGATGAGATAAAAGATTATTACATTTTATTGTGTGTTGGTGAGAATAAGAGGATTCGTGCCAAAAGATACAAATGCTTTAAACTGATTATGATAATTAAAGGTATCGCTCGCAATAATACTCCTGGCGAGTAAATAATAATGCTGACATCTACAGCTTTGTCAAGGAGAGGAACATCAGAAAACCAGAATGAAATTTATTTTCCATTAACATAGAAGAATATGGAATTCAACGAGTAACACATTCTCAAGCCTAACGTGCCTTGTTTTGCACACTTTCTTCATTCTTATCTATCTCTGTAGGCATACAAAGGCAAAAATATATGAGCATTGGTACAGCGTGTAGACTTGCATTAACTATGTGATGATGTTACATGTGCAATTCCATAAATCCATTTCGTTCTACGCGTATATATTCTTTAGGTTCAATTTCAAATCAGTTAGATTTCATCCCCGAATACTAAGACTCTACATTCTCAATCAAGCTCTAAGTTGTTAATTGAACAGGTCATGTGACCTCAATCCAAACAGTATTCAACGTTAATATCCATTTTGAAAATGTGATGAAACAATAAGCTATAGCATGAGAACTAGGAGCAATCTTTTAGGTCTGTTCATCCCACGCCATGAGATTAAAAAGGCAAGAGAGAACATTTGTTTCAATTTCTTATTTTTTATTTATTCGACTTGGTTAAGGTAGCACACATTGAAGATAAATTGCAGGAAAATCATTTGAGTTGATTTCGACATACTTAGAGCTTGTTTGAGCCCAATTTCTTTATTTTATTATTTTTATTTGACAAAAATGCGTTTTGAAATAGTGAATTGTTGGAGAACGTGTAGTTAAAAAATAAGGAAAATTTTTGGATTTACATGTAATATTATTTTATTAAAAATGTATGATTGAAAATAAGAGAGGGAAATTTATTTTCAAAATAATGGAGATCAAACAATGGCTTAGTGAAGGCCTTTAGATGCGCCCATTATTAAAATTGATAAAGTAATATTAACAATAAACCTAAAGGAAAACTACCCATTATTTGAGATTCTATAGTTTAACCTAATAAAGGAGAGTAGAAGAAGAGGATCTATGTAGTCATCCTAGGTAAGTATGGGACAAGGCTTTGTCAAGTTGAGATTGTTTATTTTTTTGCAATTGTTTCTCAACTTTGGGGTGGTTGAAAGGATAAGACCTAAACTTAAGTTGTAGTCACTAATGTACATATGTAAAGTACAACGTTATTCAGACATGCAAACACTTCTAGAGAAACATCTTTATCCAGGAATAAAAGGGGAACAGGCATATAGAAGGTGGAAGTGAAGCAACATACAACATGTAGTGTTGAAAATGATAAAAAATCTGGCAATCAGTACAATCACATGATACAAAACGGAAATTCACTAATGCAATAAAATCAGACTTCCAAGAGGAATATTGCAGCTGAAACCCTAAATGACTGAGGCCAAGAAAGTACCAAAATTAAAGCAAATATGCCATCTGAAGGTACCCCGAAAGTTATCCAAATAAGCCCAGCTTTGCCTACAGCGAAGAAAATAGAGAAATGATCCTAAGTGACAATACTTGAACAACAAAAGGTGAAAATCCTGAAGATCATAACAAGAAAAGAGGTTTACCCAAAACTGGAGAATGGATATCCCTCATAAATGCGATTACATAGAAGAAAAGATAGGTTGAAAATCCAAAGTGCAAATGAGAAGTATTTTGTCCTTCCACATATCTGCAGAAACAAAAATCTGGTAAACATGAGAGTATTAGAAGCATTATTTGGTACTATGAATAAGGATGATAAAAGCTCACATTTTAAAATCTTAACTTAACACGACCATAGAATTTTAAGCCACCAATATAAGTATACAGCATGCATGATTGTTACATAATTGCCAGAGATCATAAACAGTGTTTTGGTATGTATATACACAACACATTATACATTAAGTATGATAACAGGACAGCAGTAATACATCAAGAGTTAGAAGAAAGCAAACCTTTACTAGAAGAAAATTAGCTGAAGCAATAGCGAGGATAAATATGACACTGCAAATAAAAACAAAGTGTCACTAAAATTACTATAGCAGTCTCAAGTATAAAATGTTCATAGTCGCAAAACAAAAGGAGATGGAGTACATACCAGGCTCCATGTAGATATGATAAATAAGCCATAGAAATCAGAAGCCAGACAATTGACATCCCCTTCGCCTTCAAACAATATAATGCTCTGAACATGCAGGCAACCACTGTGAAAATCCCAAACACCATGGTGAGAATAGGTAAGTTCCCACGAAAATTTCTCCATTGGGCATCAGAACCGTCCTGAAATAAAAAGAAAAAGAATCGCATATCAGAATGTATGCAATAATTCAAGGGCATATAACAATTGTTTTGACATGGTCTAAAATCACGACTCTAGCATTCTGTTCCACCCATTTATCCTCTAACAAGCAACATTAGTTGAATCTCTTCCGTTACTAACAAGATTTGATTGTTAGCATTCAATCTTCACAAATTCAAAAACTACTTTCATTGATGACTCATTGTTCCTCAACCACATCCTAGAGAAACTTACCAAAATTAGATATGCTATACTAATTATTAATAACTTGAAATAATGTCCAATTGAAATTGGTATGCTTTAATTCCAAGACTACACTAATTCTAGGCAAACAATTTAGGCTGCTAGTTGAAGAAGGATGCATTTGGTGCCAGATATTTTCTAGAATGAAACCTTCGTTAAATTTATTCCTAAACAAATCGTGTATGAAAAGCACCTGCTCATTTAAACAAGAGTAGATGAAGCAAAAATGATAAGCTGCAACAATTAGCCTGATTAGTAATTAATAACTACAAAATTTACATACGTTAAGTCGATGAGGAATCCATCCAGGGCGCAAACCATAGAGATTGGAGTAATGATCTGTGATTACAGTTAACCAAAATAGAGAAGTCAGTAAAACCTCATAAATACGGACAGATACATGAAACAGAGTATAAAGATGTACCGCGGGAGAGTTGGAGAGAACGACGAATGACGATTGCGTAGAAACCGACGGCGTACAGGATGAGAAATGCGAGCTCTTTCTGCTGCCAAGAGCTACTCTTCATTATTACTTTTTTTCCCTCCTCAATCTGCTCTCAAATATTGCTAAATTCGATTTGTATTGAAAAATAGGATTGAGATTATAGCATTTAAATATATATTGTAGAGGAAATTATCGCCGGCGTTGAAAAATACGGCCGTCGTCGAATGAACTGTGCCTCTTTCTGAGTCGGGTCGGGTTTTCTACTTTTTCAGGAAAAAGAGGGAAAGGGAAAGGGAAAAAATCATAACTAAATTTAAGATCAACAATGCTACTTGTACATCAAGAATTGTACATAATAATGTACATGACACTCACATAAGGGTGGGATCCACGTGTATAAAATATTTTTTTATTCGAGCGGATCCCACCCCATGTGAGTGTGATGTACACGCCTATGTACACCTTGATGTACCCGTAGCAAAATTGATTTAAGATCATGTTTTCACAAATAACAAAATTAACTATTTGTTTTGAAAAAAAAAATTATAATAATTTGTGATAGATTAATGGCAGAAAACCCTTACAAACTTGTCCATTTACAATACACCTCATACATACTGAAAATCGCAAAAAACCTTCATATTTAAAAAGTTTTGTTTAAAATACTCTCGTACCGTCAAGATTAGTTAATTTAACCGTTAAAAACTGTAACAAAAAATAAAAAAATAATACAATTGTAGTTTCAGTATCCAAACTTTCTATTCTTTTACAAATTATACCCAATATTTTTATACGTGTCACCCACGATTTCAAATTTTTAAAACTTTATTTTTCCCACCCCCACCCTTGTTCATCATCTTCCTCAACCCACTTTCATCCTAACCTTCTGAATACCTAACCCAATCCTCTTCCCCAACCTAGCAAATAAAAATCCAAAAACTAAAAGCAAAATACAAAAATTCCCACCCAAAATAGACTTGTTCATTAGACAAGAATGAGATTTACGTGAAAGTTTATAGCCAAAACCAGAAACATATGCCAAGTTTCACTGTGGAGAAGTTTTTAGATTATTTCCTACTGAAGAATTTTTATTTTAAGGAGTTCTTTTCCTCCTTCCAAGAAAGAAAAGAAGGGAAATTGGAAAAGCACGGTTACTAAAAGGAGTGATATGTGGTGGAATTGGGCATTTTACCGTTCTATGGGAGACTTTTCGACATATCAATCCAAGAACAAAATCGTTGACCTGTGACAGTACAACGTAAATCAAATTTTCCACCAATCAAAGTGATCGATGATAAAGCAACACATGATTGTGTTAAAAATGCTTCATGCCAGAAATAGAGGCAAAGGGACCAAACTCTAGTTCTTGTCCATTTATTGCTTCTCAACATAGCATCAACATTTTTTTGGTGGGGATTTTTGTATTTTGGTTTTGAATTTTGGATTTTGAATTTTTATTTAGCCCAAGTTTGATCTACATTATTTTTCTAATTTTAATTCTTCTACTCGTTTTCAACCACACATTATTCAATAAAATAATATTTCCATCACATCAATAACTTTTCATTCTTTTTCAACCACATATTCTTCATCACATCAACAGTAAAAAATGCATTCTTACTCCCAAAATGTCCATCAAACAGGGGCTTACTGGGTTGGGAAAGGAAATAAAGAGGAGTGACGGTGGGAAAAATAAAATTTTAAAGAATTGGAATTGCGGGTGGCACATAAAAAAACATTGGGTATAATTTGTTAAAAAAATAGAAAGTTTGGATACTGAAACTATAATTATTATTTTCATTTTGATATTTTTACAGTTTTAAACGGTTAAACTAACGAATCTTAACGGCAGAGAGGTATTTCGAACAAAATGTTTCAAAATTGGCGATTTTCTGCGATTTTCTATAGGTATGGGGTGTATTGCAAATGGACAAATTTGTAGGAGGATTTTCTGCTATTAATTCATTCGTGATTATAAAAATAATGTAATACATATAGTTATGTTATATGTCTCATCATGATAAATCATAAGATTAAGAGAGTGTTTGGTGGTGATTAAAATTAGATTTTTAGTAGATTGTGATAGAAGTTTTTGAAATGTGTGGTTGAAAAGCTGTGGGACCATGAAAGATGTGGTTAATATTGATTATTTGACTTTGACTTAGATTAAAATCTGGAGTTCTTTTCCTCCTTCCAAGAAAGAATTGAAGGGAAATTGGAATAGCACGGTTACTAAATAGGAGCGATATGTGGTGGAATTGGGCATTTTATCGTTCTACGGGAGACTTTTCGACATGTCAATCCAAGAACAAAGTCGTTGACCTGTGACAGTACAACGTAAATCAAATTTCCACCAATCAAAGTGATCGATGATAAAGCAACACATGATTGTGTTAAAAATGCTTCATGCCAGAAAAAGAGGCAAAGGGACCAAACTCTAGTTCTTGTCCATTTATTGCTTCTCAACATAGCATCAACATTTTTTTGGTGGGGATTTTTGTATTTTGGTTTTGGTTTTGGTTTTGGATTTTGGATTTTGAATTTTTATTTAGCCCATGTTTGATCTACATTATTTTTCTAATTTTAATTCTTCTACTCATTTTCAACCACACATTCTTCAATAAAATAATATTTTCTATCACATCAATAACTTTTTCTTCTTTTTCAACTATAAATTATCCATCAATCTACTATTTCAAATTTAATTCTTAGCCCTTGTTTGAGCCACATTATTTTTTTCATTTTCATTATTCCTCTCATTTTCAACCACACATTTTTCAATAAAATAATATTTTTCATCACATCAATAACTTTTCCTTCTTTTTCAACCACGTATTCTTCATCACATCAACAGTAAAAAATGCATTCTCACTCCCAAAATGTCCATCAAACAGGGGTTTACTGGGTTGGGAAAGAAGATAAAGAGGAGTGACGGTGGAAAAAATAAAATTTTAAAGAATTTGAATTGCGGGTGGCACATAAAAAAACATTGGGTATAATTTGTAAAAAAATAGAAAGTTTGGATATTGGAACTGTAATTATTATTTTTATTTTGATGTTTTTACAGTTAAACTAATGAATCTTAACGGCAGAGTGGTATTTCGAACAAAATGTTTCAAATATGGCGATTTCCTGCGATTTCCTATATGTATGGGGTATATTGCAAATGGACAAATTTGTAGGAGGATTTTCTGCTATTAATTCATTCGTGATTATAAAAATAACGTAATACATATAGTTATGTTATATGTCTCATCGTAATAAATCATAAGATTAAGAGAGGGTTTAGTGGTGATTAAAATTATATTTTTAGTAGATTGTGATAGAAATTTTTGAAATGTATGATTGAAAAGTTGTGGGACCCATAAAAGATGTGGTTAATATTGATTGTTTGATTTTGACTTGTATTAAAATAAGATTTTATCCGGACCAAACAAGGGCTAAGTGAGGTTGTTATTATATTTCCATTCAAAACATATGTAACATAGTATTTTTTCAATTGGATCTCGATCACAACCATCAATTTGTGTGAGACGATTTTGGATCCAGTCATAAACACCTTAACATATGTTACACGCATATTTATCATAAGTCACAAATTCTTTATTAGAAACATGTATACATAAAATTGTTACAGGTAATAACACAAACATTTACAAAATGTCACAAATATTGAAACAAATATCACATGCATGTACAAAATAGTCACAAAATAACAACTCGATATGATATAGGTACGAAGGGCTCAACTCCTATCCGTTTTTTTAAAAAAAAAAACTAAGAGACCACTTGGAACCATGTATGTAGTAAAATCACGACATAAAATGCATAAGAAAATAAAAAATGCCTCGTACAAAATAGCTACATACAAAAATGTCACAATTGTTTCTTTGTTTAGATATGTATATTTAGGGAACCGCTATTTTCATTCACCATAATATATAAAATTAAAATCAAATAAAATCTATCTCTCTAAATTAATCCGCTGATATTTATTTATCATTATATAAGACTTACAACTTATAATTGTTTATATTTTATTTTAATCTCTTCCCAACCCAAATGTTCGCTAAAATTTCTTTTGTTTGCTATTTGTATCAACGATCATATTTCCCATTTAAAAGAAATCCTCGAATGATAATTTTTTTTGGAGAAAAAGAACGTAATGAGATTTTAGGAAGAAATGAATATTAATTATTTTCGCTTTGTCTGTTTAAACTTACAAGTTTATCAAATCTTATGTTATCTGCTGGTATTACAAGAGAGAAAAAGTCTTAACGTTCGCTTTAGTGGTTTATAGAGTCAAGTAACGAATATGTTGCAAAATAGCATAATACATTAGTCTTGGTTGTTGTCACAAGTTGGATCACAACGTAATATATATTCTTTTGTTTTTTTTATAAATACTTTATTTTTTATTAAACTTTGTGAATATATAGTATTTGAATGAATAAATCTAATAGGAGTAATGTTGAAATGAAATGTGGATGAATATAATATTTTTTTAAAATTGTAATAGAGATATATATAGTGGCGGATCCAGGAATTTTGTTCAACCATGGTGGTCATTGACTGTTGACTGTCAACGGCTGCAATAACGAGATCGTTTACGAAAGACGAGATAGATGACTACAAGAAAAATAATATCGCTCCATATTCTATTAACTAACCCCAAATCACAAAGCATTATTACAATTTAAATAAATCACAAATTACCCATCCGTAAATAATGAATTGTCATAAATCACAAATTATCACAAACCCCAAATCACAATACTAAATCTATAAATCACAAATCATCAATATGTAAATCCCTAAATCACCAATCAATAAGTAAAAATTCGCAAATTCTCCAATTTTCACAAATTTCACAATTTTTATAAATCATACTATTTTGATATAGATATAGAGAGTGTTTGGTGGGGATTAAAATTAGATTTTTAGTAGATTGTGAGAAAAAATTTTGAAATGTATGGTTGAAAAGTTGTAGGATCCATGTAAGATATGGTTAATATTGATTGTTTGACTTTGATTTGTATTAAAATCAGATTTTAATCCTAAACAAACGGGGCAATAGTGGGT